TATATATATATATTCTTTTTCAGATTCTTTTCCATTATAGTTTATTACAAGATGTTGAATATTGTTTCCTGTGCTATACAGTAGGATCTGGTTGTTTATCTATTTTATATATAATAGTTTGTATCTGCTAATCCCAAACTCCTAATTTATCCCTTCCCCCCACTTTACCCTTTGGTAACCATAACTTTGTTTTCTATTTCTGTGAGTCTGTTTCTGTTTTGTAAATAATTTCATTTGTATCAATTTTTAGATTCCACATGTAAGTGATATCATATGATATTTATCTTTCTCTGTCTGGCTTATTTCACGTAGTTTGATAATCTTTAGGTCCATCCATGTTGCTGCAAATAGCATTATTTCATTCTTTTTTATGGCTGAGTAATATTCCATTGTATATGTGCACCTATCCATTCACCTGTTGAATGCATGCCCTTTTAAGCCCAACTGCCTGATTTGCTGTAGCCTCTATCATAATTACCCCTCATCTTTTTCTCCCTGGCAAACTTCTATTCTTTCATTAAGACCCTACTCAAAATCATCTATTTGACAATCTTCATTCAACTAGACAGTTAATCACTTCTGTGCTCCTGTGGTATTTTTATATAACTTCAATTACAGCTTTATTACTTTATGTTGTAATTATTTTTCTGCCTCCCTTATTAGCTCTCTCAAAGTTAAAGACCTTGACTTATCTTTGGGCTTGCTCTCAGTAAATAGTCAAGTGTCTGCAGCCTGAAGACAGTTAATAGTATGAAAGCTATTATTTACTGCAAACTTTCCATGTTTGAGGCATGGTACCAAGAATATTAATCTGTGCAATAACCCTAAAATATAGGTAGCATAATTTTCCCATTTAACAAATGAGGAAACTAAGACTCAGGGAAGTTAAGCAACTGGTCTAAGATTGCAGACCCCCAAAAATGGCAGAAACAAGACTCAAACCTAGAAACTGTGACTCCAGAGAACAGAAATGATGAAAAAATTATTGAAAATTAAGATTTCCTCTATAAACATGGTACTCTTTATGGTCTACATATGAGATTGCTTACCATTTGTACTTAATTAGCATGTAATACAATAACAGTTATGTCCATCATTATATATGTCAGAGTTACTGTATTGTGAGTTTTACTTGAAACAGTGGACTCCATTCCTAGTCTGTTGCTTGCTTAGCTATTCATGCAGTGTGATGATCTGCTTTCAGACTAAAAAAATCAAGGGGAATTTGGTGCCAGTCATATTGTCTCATTATCTTGTATTTTTGAAAAAGAGGTCTGAAACACAGGTAGGGCTGCTGAGGGCAGAAGTAACTATCTATTCTATCTACTCTATGTGACAGGAGATGTAGGTTAACTGTAATACAAATTTAGATGCTTTGAATAATAATTACAGTCTGATTATTAGAATGTTATTGAGATCATGACAAAAAGGAATCCTACCTTGGATAGATGTTAAATTTTCTTTTTTTTTCTTTTTATCTACCTGTTTAAAGAGCTCTCTTAATATCTATGCTTGAGACAAACCAGCTAGGTACACCCACATGGAAACCTTTTTACCTTTAACAATGATCAGGGCCAGCTACATGATTGTAGGGCCCTAGTGAAAATGAAAATATGGGCCCTCCTGCTCAAAAATTATTAAGAATTACAAGATGGTAACAGCAGAGCATTAAACCAAGAGTGGGACCCTTCTAAGCATCGGGCCCTGAGCAACTGCATAGTTCATACACCCATGAAGCTGGTTCTGCCAGTGATCTCTTTACTGCCACCACAACTAGGAGGAACTTTAGATGACTGTGATACAGTGACCTAGCCCCTCCTATGAACTTTAGGCATCATTCCTCATTACTAACCCAAATTATAACATTCTTGGTTGTTGGGTTGGCTGAGTACAAAATGCGCATGCATGTTGGTTGGCTTGAGTACAAAATGTGCATGCAAAATGCGCATGCATACACATCAAGTATGTATATGTCTATACATATATTGAATATGTTTATATATGTGCATGTATTCCTGACATAAATATGTGTGCATACATATATATGATATTTACAGATAAGTCTGTTTCAAGGGCCAAACTTAGTAACAATATTTGCTTAATGCAGAAACCTAGGTTTGATAAGTTATAGTGTCTTCATTCCCAATCCTATTTCCCTGGGTATTTTTTAAAATTAATGCCCAGGTAGAATATTCGATATATGTAGTAAGCATTTCTCTACTGCTATTTGGAACCTGAGTGGTATATATGATTTCTCTTTAACTTTCCTGACCCTAGACCATAAATTCAAATGATTTTAAGTTATAATTACATCTCCCAGTTGTCCTGAAAAATTTCCAGTTTGCCCCTTTTGTCCCACTCAAGAATGTCCTTCTTTTGATGATACTTTAGATGATCACCTTAATATTAGCCAAATATATCAGAATATAACTTTCATCCTTTTTTTATTTTAAATAAGGTGCTGTAAATATAATAGTTAAAAAGGCCTTTAATCAAAACAGTGTATTTTCAGTTTTTCATAATAGCACCTACTTTTTGCTCATGAGTGTATAGATATTACTCATAAAAACAAAAGCTATTAAAAATGGAATATATTTTTCCAAATTGTTTTAGCTTTCTTTTAAACAAAAATGAAATACATATACATTAAATAAAATTGAGAAAATTGAAACAAGAAGAATACAACACATAGGCCCAATAGTTAAATATAGGCACTCTTAGTATTTTGCTACATTACTATATAGGTGTCTTTTTCTATGGATAGTTTTTTTTTTAACTTAGTTATAACATGATGCAACTTTTTTTCCTGTATTTTTTCCATATAACATTATATCATAAATCTGTTTCCACAGTGTTATTTAATCTTAATAACTATTGTTTTCAAGTTTCCTTCTCTTATAGATTTGGAATAGAAGAGTTTGAAAGAAATACTTATCTCCTTCATCAACTACTGCAATGGAGAGACCCTTTTTAGAGAATAGAGAACATCATACCAGATTCTAGTATACCAGTCTTTCCCATGACTGGCTGAAGCCTTGAGCAAGCTTCTAAAGTTTTCTGAGCTCCAATTTCCTTCTCTGTAATAGATAAGGATAAAATATGAGAATGATAAAAATAAATAGCAGTAATAATAATTGTAATAATATTAACTGTCAGTCCTTGAATATCCAGAAATTTTTAGTGTGCCTGTAGTATGCCAAACGTATCAGTTATTGTGCTAAGCATTTACAAAAAATATATTACCTTAGGAATAGTTAAGACAATCTTGTAGAGTAGCAATAAAGCTAGAAGACTTAGATTAGTGTATATAAAGACTTAGAGACAAACTGAATAGTAGAACAATATACAGAAACAGACCCAAAATAATGGTCACCTGATTTAATAACAAAAACTTCTCTGTAGTGCAATAGAGAAAGGATTTTTTTTTCCAAAAAATGCTGCTGGGACAATTGGTTAACTACATAGGGAAATGTCCATTGACTCCTACTTGACGCCACACACAAAAGTCAATTCCAGATGAATTATAGATCTAAATATGAAAGGCAAAATGATAAAGACTGTAAAAGATAGAAAAACATTCATGTGACGTTGGAGTAGATAAATATTTCTTAAACAGGACACAATATAAATTATTAGAGAAAAGTTGATAAATTGGACTTCATTAAAATTTTAAATTTTATTCATCAAAAGACACCATTAAGAGAGCGAAAACAACAGTATAGAGGGGGAAAAATAATTGTAATACATAGTATCTGACAAAGTCCTCATATATAGAATATATAAACAACTTCTGAAAATTGACAAGAAAAAGATAGTTCCAATAGAAAAACAAACAAAAACATACAGTTCACAGGAGAGAATATCCAAATTGCTACTAACGATATGAAAAGTTTTTCAATTTTATCAGTCACCAGGAAAGTGCAAATAAAAGCCACAATATGATAGTATTCACCTGCCAGACAAAGAAAATACCAAGTGTTGGTGAGAATATAGAGTAAATGTAACTCTCTTTCACTGTTGGAAAACATTTATAAACTGGGACAACCACTTTGAAAAGCTGTTTGGCAGAATCTAAAATAGCTGAGCATATGACTCAATAATTCCCCTCCTAGGTATACATCTACTAGAATTTGGGATATATGTTCACCAAGTAAATATGTGTAGGAATCTATTCATAATAGGAAAACCCTGAAACTACCCAAATGTCAATGACCAGTAGAATGGAAAATAAATTGTGGTATCTTCACACAATGCAATACTATTCAGCAATAAGAATGATCTCCAATGATATAAAACAAAATGGATGAATCTCAAAAACATAATGTTAAACAAAAATGCCTGGACATAGAAGGGTATGTACTGTATAATTCCATTTATATAAAAGAAAAAAAACTAAACAAAATAAATCTAAGCTGTTAGAAGTTAGGAGGGTGGTTACCGTTGGTGTAGGTGAGTGGTAACAGTGATTAGAAGAGAGCTTGAAGAGGGTTTCAGGGTGCTGGTAATGATCTGTTTTGTAATCTGGGTACTATGCATCTGGATGTAATTGGTTTGTGAAAGTGCATTATCTGTACACTTATGTGTACTTTTCCGTATGTATTGATATATAATATTTGTTAAAAAGTCAAAAACATATTATCTTGAATCTGTACCCCATTTTAGAGATGAAAAAATAAGAAATAAGAAGTTTAAGTTACTTAAACTTAGTTATTTTTAGTTACTAATAGCCAGGCAGTTGTTAGGTGGCTCAGATTAAATGGTCTTTAGTTTCCTTTCTAGTTCTAAGATACTATGGTTTTATAAATCCACCAATTTGGAATCTAACTTTCTGCCTTTTTATTTTAATTTCTATTGGCCTCCCTAATCAAAGTTTTCAAACTTCTATATCCAGAGGTAAGATTCTTTGATACTCAAATAATACCATAAGAAGTTTTCCTGAATATTCAGAGTTTGTTATTTCTGCTAATTTATATTTATTTTCTATGCTTATTGTTTTATAGGCAAGGAAAGGTCGGACTACAATTGTGGTAGCTCACCGGCTTTCCACTATTCGAAGTGTAGATATGATTGTGACTATAAAAGATGGGATGGTGGTGGAAAAAGGAACACATGCTGAACTAATGGCAAAACAGGGTCTATATTATTCACTTGCAATGTCACAGGTAATGTTTACATGACATAATGTATGTTTGCAGATTTTTTTTGACTTTTCAGAAATCACGCCATGCTAGAAAATAGAAGTCTTGAATTATAATCTTAGGTTTCACAAGGCAACCAAGGTTTATTTATAGTTCCTTAGTGAAGAAATTCAGTGAGTCTAATATCCTCAGCATTGTGCTAGACAATGATGAAAGTTAAAGAACTAATTGTTACATAGTACCTAATATTTGCCAGGCACACTACAAATAGGCTTCAAATCTTGTATGTGGCAGATCCAGAGGAATCTAACTCTATATTCCGTGATCTTTTTGTTAAAACACAAAGAAATATAACACACAATCCCTACTTAAAGACTTAAAACTTAGCTACAGAGGCAAAATGCAGAATCATGCATACAGATGTTACAAGTTGTAGAAATAAGAAGCAAGATTGATGGGGATATAGGGAACTAGATTAGCCATGGAAGTATTCATGAAGAAATCTTGAAGGCAAGAAGGTAGGAGGGGGATTTCCCTGGTGGCGCAGTGGTTAAGAATCCGCCTGCCAATGCAGGGGACACGGGTTCAATCCCTGGTCTGGGAAGATCCCACATGCTGTGGAGCAACTAAGCCCGTGCGCCACAACTACTGAGCCTGCATGCTGCAATTACTGAGGCCTGTGCACCTAGAGCCCATGCTCCACAACAAGAGAAGCCACCACAATGAGAAGCCCATGCACCGTAACAAAGAGTAGCCCCCACTCGCCACAACTAGAGAAAGCCTGTGCGCAGCAAGGAAGACCCAATGCAGCCAAAAATAGATAAATAAAATTTTAAAAATTATAAAGGTAAGAGGTGGAAAAGGAGGAGAAATCTAGGTAATGTGGAAGTAATAAGGAACTTGGTTTGTAACTAAACAGAAAGGAGACCAGCCTGCCACGAGTAATGAGTATTGGGGGAATAATGGAAAATCTGGATAATGAAGGTCAGATTATGAAAAGGCTGAGACTTCCTGTGTCGGAAGCACCTACCCCAGTGCTTGGCACACTCAAAATCTATCTGCTGAATGAAAGGATGCACACATATATCCATACCGTGTATACACCAAATTCTCACAGGGAGACCAGAAAGCTCATATTAGGCAATGAAGAGGAGGCACGATAATCCTGGAGGCACACTGACAAACTCCTGTTTTTGAGGATCCACATGTTTGCATGCATATGACCTAGCCTACTGAATTTCACATGGTTCTTTCATTAGGGTGCATTAACATAAGTGATAGTGATTAGGCTCTAGCTCTCTTCTTCATTCTGCCTTCATCTCTTGGTCTGGAAGGCAGCCTTCTTTCCAAGGGGTCTTCTGCAGACAACTAATATCAACCTTTTTTGGTTTATTTTACTTCTTCAACTTTCTGATTATATTTTTGATATCAATATTATTATTTCACAAATTAGGAAATTTAGAAAGTTATGAGTCTCCATCTCATCAAACTTAGAATTTCAAACCCCAGCTTTCTCCACAATTCTAGAATGAAGGATTTTTAAACACATCCTCTAAAGCAATGATAATAAAAAAAATTAAAAGTTTGAAAATGTAATCTTATATTGATTTAAAAACTGCTTGATTCCGATTTTATTTTATATTAGGCTATATTTTTCTTTAAAAATAAAATGTACATGTTATTTGCCAGTTGAATTTTCATGATTTTCATTCCACGGTAGAATTAATAATTTATGAAGTTATTAAGTTCAGTATCTTCAAACTAATAGTTGTAACAATAAAAGGAAATAACTGTGGTCAAATTAACACTACTTTGAGATTTTAAAAAACTACTACACTCAGATCTTTCTTTGAAGCAACACTTCTTTATTTTTCATTATAACTAAACCAAAACTCCATTTTTAGGTGTTAGGTGAAAGAGTTCCACAACATAAGGAAAACAAAAATGGAGTGTTTGTGGTATAAGTGTATAAAAATTTAAAATACCGTATTCAAAATGGATTAGTACTCTCTGATTACCTAATAATGTTCATTCTGATATAATAATACAATTTTAAATATTAATACTCAATGAACAGCTCTAATATTCTGGGAAATATATAGTAAACATAACATACGTGATATCTACATAAACAGTACCACATTTCTGAAACTCTGGATGCATTTATTTGCCACTATTGCCTATAGTGTCCAAATGAATCAATTTATGACAATTCATGATTTTCATAAGTATTACAAAGTTAATGCTGCTAAGAAAATCAATCCCAAAAAGCAGCATAGGAAAATGGTTACAGTCACAAGCTCTGGAGACACAGCAAGTTGAAATCCTTACTCTGCCACTTAATAGTTTTAGGACTGTGGGTAAGTTGTTTAAATTCTCTGTGCCTCAGTTTTCTAAACTGTAAAGTGAGGAAAGTAATAGCATATTAATTAATTACATTGAGTATTAAATGAGTTCAATTATGTAAAGTACCTAGAATTATTGTTAGCATAATAAATTTTATTATATTACCATTCTTAGCATTAGCGTTTGTTATCCAATCAAACTTTTAAGGCAAGTTCAAACCATAGTTATTGCTGTAATCAGGTACAGATTCAATGCTGTAATTATTTATCTAGGATGTACATAATTATTTACAGATATAGTGAGTCTGTGAGCTTCCTTTAGTGAGTTTTCACACAAAAATGAAATAAAAACAGGTAGAGATACATACATACCAAAACTTCTTGTCATTCTTATTTTGTCTAGCAGCCTTCTCAGGAAAAGGAATTGTCTTTGATCTGTTAAAGCACCTCTTTAGAAAATTTTATTATGAGAAGTAAAAATTGTATTTTAAACTTGCCACAAAGTAAATAGCTCCTGAAAAAATGCCAAATAAAAAATTTCTTTCTCGGTAGAGAAATTTACTGAAAAAAAAGAAAGTGATAGCATAAAGGAATGTCTGATTAAAGATATTAGGATAGCTGGTTAAAGTTCATGGTAGTTTGAAATGCCTGATTAACAGTTGTTACTCTTGTTAAAGAATCACAGTGTCCCTGGGAAGCCTTCCGTGTACATACTCTCCCTTGCACCTAAAACTATCTAAGTCTTTCCATCTCTACTCCCCACCACGGTCAGGGCCACCATCACCCTAACTGGCCTCTTCATTTCTGTCTTCTCCCCTCCTCCCATCTCTTCACAAGGAAGTCACAAATTTACTTGCACCACATTCAGATGAACAGAGAATATGTAACTCCTTTATTTCACTGAAACTGGTCTTATTTCTTGGAGTAGCAAGAAAAACAAAAACAAGACTTAGAGCAATCTGGTTTAGAACTTTATCCTATTCTATGATTTAAGCAGCTTTAAGGTTAACTTAATGGCTTCGGAATTTCTCATTCTTTTGGAGATGGCCCCGCCAATTTTGCTTTTTGGTCAGATTGGAATGGGCAGCAGTGGCAAGCCTGGAAAATGTTATTGTCTCCTGAGATCTATCTCAGGCCCAGGACCAACCTCACATTTAACTGCCTTGCTATATATGTTATCAATTTGTAAGCTCCAGAGAAGGCTGGGAAGAAGGGATCAGAGAGAGGGTATATTTGAGTCATCTCCCTCACAAACTCCTTTTACTAAGATCTGTCCTTGCTAGTGGAATAATTGTTTTGAATTAAGACATTGTTTTCTCTAGTTAATTGTACAGGTCTTTGGGGGAAAAGGCACAATAAAAGCTATTGTTACTCAGTAACATTTTAGTATGAGTTGGACTTACTGTCTCTGTATCGAGTCTGAAAACTTTAGCAAGAACTGCTCAGGAATACACCACTTTCAATAACAGAGGCAGTACAGTTTTAGAGGGATGCTTAATAAAGTTGCTTTGAATTTTTAAGGCATTCTTCTAGTGGTAACATGTATATTCTTCATCTAGGATATTAAAAAACTGATGAACAGATGAACTCAATGGCATATTCTACTGAAAAAGATATCAGCTCAATTCCTCTGTGCTCTATGAATAGCATCAAGTTAGACTTTACTGACAAGTCTGAGGAATCCATCCAAAATAAAGAGGTAATGGTTCAACTATCAACAAGTTACCAACATGTTGGTAACTTGTTACCAACTATCATGTTACCAACTATCTAACTAACTAACTAACCTCAGACACCATGAAATCTCTCATCCAGCCCCTGAATATTAGCTTCTGTCTTCCTAACCACCAGTTTCCACATCATCCCACTCCTCTCTTTGGTCCACTATTTCCTCCCAAACTGGAATTCCCTTCTTCTCCTTGGGTCTGACAGATACTTGAGGTTGACCGCCCATTAACTATTCCCACCATCTTCCTACCCACTCTTCTCGGTCTCATCTGCCAATTATCAGCCTGAAGCCCTGGGATTATCTGCCCCAAACCTCCTCCTCTGCCCTTCTCCGGCATTGCAGTCTACTGCTTTTAATTCTAGATTCAGTACTTTCCATTTAGGTACGTGGTAATACATAGCATTCACACTTATATATATATATATTTTTTTTTATTTTAATTTTTTTGCAGTACGCGGGCCTCTCACTGTTGTGGCCTCTCCCGTTGCGGAGCACAGGCTCTGGACGTGCAGGCTTAGCGGCCATGGCTCACAGGCCCAGCTGCTCTGCAGCATGTGGGATCTTCCCGGACTGGGGCTCAAACCCGTGTCCCCCGCATCAGCAGGCGGACTCTCAACCACTGTGCCACCAGGGAAGCCCCTATATTTTTTCTTATCTATTAATTTTCTTTAAAATATGCACTACCAAACGTAAGGTAGATAGCTAGTGGGAAGCAGCCGCATAGCACAGGGAGATCAGCTTGGTGCTTTGTGACCGCCTGGAGGGGTGGGATAGGGAGGGTGGGAGGGAGGGAGATGCAAGAGGGAAGAGATATGGGAACATATGTATATGTATAACTGATTCACTTTGTTATAAAGCAGAAACTAACACACCATTGTAAAGCAATTATACTCTAGTAAAGATGTAAAAAAAAAAAATACTATGTATAAAAAATAAATAAATAGGGCTTCCCTGGTGGCTCAGTGGTTGATAGTCCGCCTGCCCATGCAGGGGACACGGGTTCGTGCCCCGGTCCGGGAAGATCCCACATGCCGCGGAGCTGCTGGGTCTGTGAGCCATGGCTGCTGAGCCTGCGCATCCGGAGCCTGTGCTCTGCAACGGGAGAGGCCACAACAGCGAGAGGCCCGCATACCCACCCCCCAAAAAATATAAATAAATAAAATGCATTTGAAAGCCCAATAATAATAATAATCATTTACATAAACAAGCAAAGAAAAATATTAAGTAAATAACAGCATAGATAATTTGCCATATGGCAAAAGGCCTGAGTATAAGAATACAGTAAAAGGGTTTGTACCATATTGTAAAAACACTGTGTGAAAACATCTATTAATAGCTGTTGGACCTGCCACCGTAATTGCTGCAAACAATATGAAAATCTACCTCAAAGTCAGCAAATTCACTAGGTCTATAAAGTGGATTTTCAAAACCTAAGAAAGGTGAAATTCATAAAATTAAAAAGCAATTTCCAGACTTTAGAGAAAATGGTAGGGTAAATTTACACTCTGATACAACTGCTCTGCTCCATACACACAGGAATGATACATAAAACATAAAAAGAGAAAAGCCAATTAGACATACCCAGGCTCCAAAACAAGATCTCTACCAACCAGAAATAGAACAAAAGTACAAAGTGGTGAGCTGTGCTACAGTCATGGACTTACTCTTAACAGGAGGCTGCAAACTTGGTTACCAGTGCCTGGAGCTATAGCGAGTACAAAGCTGAGAGCCTGGAAGGGTAGTATTAACAACCAAGAACTGAAACAAGCCAAGCACCAGCTCCATGGCCATATTTGTAGAGGGTTCTTTCAGCCTGTGGTATTGCAGTGAAAAGTGAACAAGGAAATGAAGGGACTATAAAAATGAATAACGAGGGCTTCCCTGGTGGCGCAGCGGTTGAGAGTCCGCCTGCCGATGCAGGGGATGCGGGTTCGTGCCCCAGTCCGGGAAGATCCCACATGCTGCGGAGCAGTTAGGCCCGTGAGCCATGGCCGCTGAGCCTGCGCGTCCGGAGCCTGTGCTCCGCAACAGGAGAGGCCAAAACAGTGAGAGGCCCGCGTACCGCAAAAAAAAAAAAAAAAATTAAAAAGTGAATAATGAAATGAAAAATGTGAAACAGGATTTTAGAATAGTTAATGGGAGGTTATATTAGTCTGGGATGAGTCAGGAGACAGAAACCACACAATGATTTGAACAGAGAAAGTTTAGTGTAATGAATCATTAGGGAATTGGAGTAATAGGAATTGGCTAGTGGAAATTAAGAGGACTTTAAAGAATGCAGAGGTCATAATAAAAAGTACCAACTACCACCCCTGGGGTGAAAAGAGACCCAAGGAAGAGCACTCATTATTGCCCGAAACTGAAGCGGAGATACAGGCCTTACTGCAAAGTGCGCAGCTTTGGCTCACTGGATAGCAGAGAAGATGCCCAGGTACCTCACTGGTGGAGCTTGCTTGAAATCTGTCCTCCAAGGTGCCAAGGGAGACCTTCCACAGGGAGGTTCTGAGCTTCAGAACCCACTAGGTGCCAGGAGAAGCTACTGGGCACTGCTGAAACCAGGGGCTGGAGAAATTGTCTTCTGCAGGAGTCAAGGCAGTTCTGTGTATAAGAGGTGCAGACATCAGCGACCTGGCTGAAACATAAGCCTGTGCTGTCTGGGCCCCATGGTTACACTTCTAATGGGTCAGCCAAGAGCTGGAGAAAGCGCTTGATGGCCAAACACAGAAGAAAATTGCACTCTACAGGCACCCAACTCTGAAAAAACTGTGCAGGCAAAACAGCAGAGAGAAAAGTTCATCTTGCAGGAGCTTTCCCAGTAAGCTACCGGTAAGAGCAGGAAGAATAATCCCCTCCTACAATGTCTTTCCAGCAGCCTCTACTGATGGAGCTTGACATCTTACCAACTGGTAAAAGAGAAAAGTTTATCAGACAAAAGGGTGAATTTGGACCTGAGAAGCAAAAAATCAGTAACCAGGACAGAGCTGGTATTATTTTGAACAGGGGAATCAGCAAACATAAGGGCCTGGAATTGGGAGCCACAGTGACTAAGGAGGAGAGAAGTGAGCAGAGAAGTGTATGAGATACTCAGGGACCAGATCATGTAGCACCCTGTAGGACATAAAAAGAATTTTGGATTCTGTTCTTACTCTAACAGAAAGTCATTGGGGGATTTTAACCAGTGGTTCATGACTCACAGGAATTAACCTGAATGGGCAAAAAAAAAAAAAACCACAACTATACTTGAGAGAAATTTAATTTACTTTAATTATGAATATAAACAACAGACTACATTAGTATTACCAAGGCCTGTGATGTCACCAATGAAAATCACAGAAATATTTATATCACATTATAGTTATTACAGATATCTTAGAATATCTTTTTTTTTTTTTTTTTTTGGCCATGCCATGCAGTATGCGGGATCTAAGTTCCCCAACCAGGGATCTAACCCATCCTCCCTGAAGTGGAACCACAGAGCCCTAATCCACCAGGGAATTCCCCAGAATATCTTTATATTCATCACTATTAGATCTTGTTATTTAATGTGCCAATAATGAAGCACATAACTATATCAGAGCTTTGAATTTTTTGTTAAACATTTTAAATATTATATCTCAATATAATTGGCTTTCTTTGAGACGTGTTATTTGGTACATTGTTATAAATTCTTCTAGGAAGGATTCCATAGATTTCATCAGTTTTCTGAAGGGGTCCATGACACAAACAGGTTAAGATCTCTAATGACCCACATGGGAAAGGAATCTAAATAAGAGTAGATATATGTATATGTAGAACTGATTCACTTTGCTATACACCTGAAACTAACACAACATTGTAAATCAACTATACTCAAATTAAAAAAAAATTTTTAATCTACTTAAAAAAACAAAACTGTTGCATGCAAGGGTCTTATTCAGAAGAGTGCATGAACTGAGTTGCTTGATGTGGCTGCTGTGTGGAGAATGGTACTTGGGAGCCAAAGTGGGATCAGGGAGAGCAGAGCAGAGAAGAGATGATAGTGGTGAAAACAAATGGACTGATATGCCTGACTAAAGCAGTCTAAGGAGAAATAAAGAATAGATGGAGGAGCAACTAGGACAGGAGATTGAGACCCAGGATACTGCAAAATTTAAATTCAGGTAGAAAAGCAGTAGCCAGAACAGGACACCTAAAGAATGGCTGGAAAATAAAAAGAAAGCTAAGATTGTGTGGCATCATAGAAGCCAACTAAGAAAAGTACTACAAAAAGAGGAATAGATCATTTACGTCAATTGCTGTGGAAACCAGATGAAATTAGAGATTTCTACTTCCAGCCAAGATAGGTTAACAGGGACGAGATTTACCTTCCCGCTTGACACACCTAATAAACTAGAAAAAAGTATGTGAAACAGTTTTCTAACATTGGACATCAGGCATAACAAGACAGTGATCCCTGAGGAAAGGGAAACAAATGAAATGAATCTTATCATTGACCCAGGTTACTGTCAAGTTATAAGCCTAAGAGCTGGAATGGGAACCTAGGCAGAGCACAAGAGGCCAAAGTAGGCAGTCTTCAGAGCAAAGAAGTAGAGGGAAGAGAGCTGCTCAGAGAGAGAGAGTTCCACAAATATGCAGAGGTTCTCCCTTGACTCTTCATCTGAGTACTAATTAGTGCATTTACTGAGAAAACTGACAAAGGCAAAGGAAAGTATAAGAAGGAACAATTCTTGGAGCTCACAAAGGGCCAGGAATAGTTCTTATTAAACCAACCAAAGTGAGGAATCTCTAAATTCATGGGGAATTTAGTTGAATCTTAAGAAAAGTATTAACTCAGCGTAGGAAAATTATTCCCAGACTAAAACTCAGCTCTGAGCCCAGCAAACAAGGCCCAACAGCAAATTTCAAAAGTATCAAACTGTTTCCAAGTAATTTAAATGTGTTCCAGAACAAGGTTCAATAATATGTATAAGAATTCAAAAATAACCAATGAG